AAAATCGCTTAAGTTCGCCGGCAAGGGAAAACACAGCTTGCCCCGCCTCTTAAACATTTTCCCGCCCCCCGTTTGTTGACAGCGTGTTAGTGCAAACTAAATGAAATTTTCTTCATGCCTTCAGCCAGGCTGTGGGTTTTTGTTTCTCGCTCTTGTGGCTCTGTGTTAATGTGTGCTGGGGGTGTCTATTAAGGGTGCCCTTCATGTACATCACCGAGAGAGCATCATCCTCATCATCCTGCTCATCATTATCGTCATTATCATCGGGACCGCTCATCAGTGTCATCCGAGTTGTAGTGGAAACTGCCGTCATAAGCCCGTTTGTTACCTTGGCCCCATTGCGCCATTGTCCTGTGCATAATTGAATGCTCAGACGCTTTTCGAATTCCACTTCATGCATGTGGGATGGTTACACGGTGGGAAAATGAGCCCACGTTCTTAAAATTTAAACGTAGTTAGATCGATGTTTATTAAAATTAAATTCTCGGAGATCTTAATTTGTTTGTGTTATTAGGATATAGTCTTTTGGAATAACCATAGTGTTTAACCATGATTTTGTTTCAAGTTAAAGTTAAGTAGACAAAGTTAGGGAGCTCCAAAAAGGATGTACTAAAACCTTGTCCTGCTATTTTATACATATTTTAAAAGAACACTTAATACTCTACTAGATTTTCTCTCCGTGCACCATGTGAGGGAGTTGCCTTTTCAATGACTTCCGCATAAGTGTTTAATTTCCTGTGTATTAACATGCTTAGCAAAACAGTGAAAAGTGTCCGGGGGAAAGGCAACAAAACGCAGTCCTGATGAAAAGGGGTTGCAAGCAACAGCAACAGTGAATAAAAAAAAAGGAAAATGGAATGTAAACCAGAAAAGGTGCGTTTTCGAGGCCCCCCTCGGTGTGTGGCTGGCATAACGATTTGTGCCAACAAATTTATTTAAAAAGGATTATCAGCAGCTAAGCGCCATGCTGGCACACTTCAAAGGACGCCACGCTTTGCCCCCCACCAAGACACCAACCATCTAACCAACAACCAACCCCATTGACATTTTTGGGGGGGTTGGGGACTACAAAATGAAATAAAAACAGAAACAAAGAGCAAACAAAACACGTAAACGCCGCTATGGCATATGCAAATTTCAATGTCAGACTCATGCCGCACAGTCTGAATTTGAATTTGAATTTCGAGTATGAATTTGACATTCAATTTTGTTTTATTTTCCGGGGGGGCTGGGGCTGGGGCACAGGCTAAGTGGCTTTATTTTTGACGATTATGGCTAAGGACAGAGTTTAAATAATCAAAATTCCTGGCCCTTTCAATATTAAACACAAAGAGTCATGGTAATTCGATGCGCTCTATGGATATCTCCTCTTATTTTATGACATTCCACCGATAACCGTTGCTTAAAATGAACTTGATGACATTTATATGCCTTCGAGGGGGGTTGGGTTGGACTGGGTCGGGTTCCTAGAGAGTTTTAAAAATACCGACAAAAATATTGTAGCAACCGAATCTGAAGGCGTGAGAAATTCAATTTGTTGTCACGTCCATCAGGTTAAAATAGAAGCAAACGGCGGGGGTTTATTGTGGAGCCGGGTTGGCATTTTCGTGTTATTGAATACTTTAAAAGGTTTTTCGACTACCCCATGGCATTCCGCCTCCACCTCCTGCTCAATTTTCACTCCCGTTTCTGTGAACTCGCTTCCTGGGGGTTGCTAAAATTTTAGTTGAAACATTTTATTTGCTAATTGCTGGGTATTTGCAGTACATTTCGATATACATATACGTATATATAAAGGTTTTTGGAAAATTTGTTTCTTCTCGAATGAGTGGGAATCTGCCGCCTGATTTTCCTCAATTTTGGGCAGGCGAGTGTGTGTGTGTTGTGTGTGTGTGTGCATGTGCGGAAGTTCACACACGCCTGAACACTCACAGCTTGTCAAACGCACTCCTGGAAGCGCTTTTCCCGCTCCTCTCCCACTTTGCCGTGCAGTTTTCCCTTTCACATAGCTTGTGCTTGAAAATTTTCAAATTTCCGGATTGCCTCCTCCGTCGACTCGCCGCCAAGGAAATTGTCTACGCATGTTTCTGGCACTTTTAAGAGGATATATTATGGAAGAGGAAGCAAGGGATGTGTGGGAAACTATTCAAGACGGCTGCTTATCCATTATTAATGCACGTTGCCAAAAGTGTTCGACACAAATTTGCAATTTGCTCAAGACTTTGGCGGGGGGGCGTGAATTAACTGCCGAGCGATAAGCATTTTCCGTTGCTGCCGCCGTTGATTTTCCAACCCCCCCGTCGGCCATGTCGACTAAATGGCATATGGATTTCCGTTGTCCATTCGTGCCTTATCTCGTTGCCATGGGCAATGTCTGTCTGATGTGATAATCCGCAGGAATTAATAAATAAACCATTAACAAATAAACTAGAGTTAAGCCCATGCACACAGCATTGCATTGTGAGCCCGGAGGGGGTTTTCCTGGTGACGGGGTGGTGACCCGTGGGGTGGGGGTATGTGCGTGCCGCTGGGAAACCCTTATCAAGGACTCACCAACAGTCAGGCAGGTTCAACCCCGGACTTGACTTTCTGCAAACATCAGCAAACAAAGGCCAATGATGGCCTCAAACCAGAGACTCGCTCTTAATGTTTTCTGGACGATGGACAGTGGGGCAAAAATGAAGAAAAATTATATTATAGTTTTAACAACAAAGATCTTGAGAAAATTAAGTATACTTAATAATGAAATATGTGTGAAAAATATCCCTAGTTACCTGTCATTTAAAGTTTAATAAGCCCCTTAATGTGTTGAACTTTAATATGTGATTACCTTCAAAGTTCAGCTATAAAATTCGCATCTATTTTTAGATTTAAGCTCTGTATTTTTCCTCCTAGAGGTCAATGCTTGGCAATAAATTTCCTTCGAAGGCGTGTCCAAAAAAAAAAGGAGAACAAAATGCAAATGGCATTTGTGCGTGGATACTCTGCGTGTGTCGCCTGAAATTTCAGTCAATTAAATGAAAATAAATGAATAATTGATAGTTTTCATGGCTCTCTCTCTGCCTGTTTCCACCTTGAACTAAACCTTGGCCAAATGTAATTAGGGAAAGAGGCAGCAAAACCAATGGAAGAATGTCATTTGAATAATTTAAATTGTTAGACGCGTTCGTCGTTCGTCGTTCGATTGCCAGACACACACACAAACCTGCCGGGGACAGGGACCCTGGGCCAGATCCTGTTCCTGCTCCTCCTGACCGGAGCCACAATGACGTTAATGACAGTGACGAGCGGTTGTTTGCCTCAGTTCTCGACCAAACATTTGGCGCAAACAAACAAACAAACAAACAAACAAATGCACGCACGTACTCCAGGCGACACACACTCATACTCACTCGTAAAAAACAATCAAAATGCAAAACGGAACCTGGCAGACGACACTCTAGGGGGAGTGTGGCAGTGTGTGCAAGAGCACTGTTAGAAAAAATGATTAAAAATTTAAAAGAAAAATAGATATATTAAAGATTCAGCAGCTGCAAACTTTTCTCTTAATATTTTATTCCATGTACGTGAGAAACTATAGCTTAGGGTAAATTATGTCTCAAAATTCAAGGATTTCTGTTGGCATTAAGCACACTTTGCAAAGCCTTGCCAAGTTAATTTCTTAAATTAAATTATGCAAGTAAAAAAGGCAAGAAAACAAAACCTATAAAAGCTCAAGAAATATTTCAACTCTTCAACATTATATTCATTACTCAAATCGAAAATTTCCCTTCTTACTTTATTCACATAGTTTTAAAAATTAAAATATCTTATATTGAAAGTCCCCATTTTCTTTTTCCTGAGTGCACGTGCGTGAGCCTTGCACCAGGAGGATCAACGACAAACACAAATGGCTCCTGATTGCAGGCAGGAAGCAACAGCTAAGGGGATACGGGACCGAACCAACGTTGGTCCTCCGTCTGTGTCTGGCTATGCGACTAGAATTCAACATTTTGCCGCCATTAAAATCAAATTGCACTTTCGTGCAGCGCAGAACCAGGACCAGGCACAGGCCTGGGCAGGATACTAAGCCAGTCCAGAGGCGGGGTGGGAAACCGGCGGCAGACGGAGGTCACGAGCCGCGTCAACGTTTTTGGCAATTTCAGCAAAATATTCCTCTTGGTCTTCGCTCTCTTTTTTTTATGATTAATAAAAGCAAATGTAAATAGTCGCAAATAAAAGGCAGCTAAACGAAATGAAAGCAAGCGTTGCAGGGGCGACCTTCAGCGGGGTTCAGGTAGTAGTGGGTGGTGCAGTGGGTGGAAAAGCATTCGGCATCACCGCTTCCTGCCCTCCAATCCGATTTCACCCTCTGACTAACTTTCGCTTAATTTCTATTAGCATTGCTGTCGCTTCGTTTTCATTGCTGCGGCACGCTCCGCAGGTTGCTGAGGTTACCCCTGCATAGGGTGGGGGGTTGGGGTGGAAAATCAAATGGAAGGGGTGGAAAATCGTGGGGGAGGGGGGTGACCGAAGGGTGGCTGGTGGCTCAGGGAATGCAACTGTCTGCCTCGGCCTGATTGTTTGTATTTCTCATGGCACTCGATGTTAGTCAAAATCGCTTCCTTTTCATCCAATTCCCAAAAATGAATACAGTCAAGCTTCCCTAACTGGGAATCGTAAAAAAGACACATAAAAAAGTAACTTAAAGTTGGTAATAATTTTTGACACATTCTTTTACAGTAATTTAAAAGGAATTTCCAGAAGTCTTGAGCTAAATTTATAAATGAATGTATTTTTGGAAGCCTTGATTCCTCTTTAATTCTTATTATTTGACTTATTTTAATCAAAGAAACTGAAATAACTATATATTAATACGCCATAGTAAGTTTTTACTGTATTTCCCTTTCCCTTCGGTAACCCCCGAAAAAGTATGCGGCAGTAAAACCCACAGACACAACCATCGAACCCACCCACTCTGTACTGTTGTTTGTTTTACAACGTTTTTAACTTGTTTGCAGGGATTAGGTAAGCAACTCAAACAGGATCGGGAGGAGTGCAGGACATTGCCAGGATGCAATGAGAACTCATAACAAAAAAAAAAGGAAAACAAGAAAAATAGACAACGACAGCGCCTGCCAATTTCCACTGGATACTTGGGGGAAAAGGCATAGACTGATTTCCATTGAGCAGCGCCGGCAACCGTTGCCAACATTAAATGCATCGAATTACATTTTCTATTAACCAAGTTTAAGGGGGGGTCGCAAAGGCGGCTCCTGTGTTTGGGATCGTGTGGCTACTTTGTGTGTGGAAATGCGGGAAAGGCGGAAAATGCGGGGGTGTTGTACCAACCAGCCAGCCCCCAGAGCAAATGTTGCTCGTTTGTTTGCTGGTTGTTTTACAATTCGCTTTTTTAACGCTTTCGCGCTGTGATTCCTTCGTCCTGCCAGCGGGTCCCTGACATTGTTGTGCGGCGCCTTGAACCTTTTGCCGTTGAGCCCGCCGTCCTTGCCCCTGTGCGCCAGCCATTCTGCTAACCCGTCTTGATTGCACAAGTTTTTGTACTGCGCTTTGGCTAAGAAGCCGCTGGCTGCACGCCGTTTAGGCCACCTTCTCCTTGTCCTTTTTGGCTTTAAGTTATGAAAAGTTTTGTCCTTGTTTTTCCTGCCTTCCTGCCTGCCTGCCTTCGTTTCTTGTCCTGCTGTCGCTTCAGCTGCTTCTTTAGCTGTTTTTTTTCTTCTTTTTCCCTGTTGAGGTTTTTCCACGTATTTGGTTCCTCTTTAAGCGCACATTAATCAAAGTTTTTCGTTTGGCTTAGTCAAAGTTTGAGGGCATTTATAAGGCAATTGTGGAGCTCGTTTCGTTGGCCACGACAGGTGTGTGTGGGTGCCGGCTTCTTCGTGGTCCTGTTTCCTTGACGGCTGCAGGGGACATTGAAGCCATATGGCATTAAGGCTGAGAATCGAGAATCAAGCTCAAAAAAATTATTTTGAATAGAATAGGGAAAAGTTTTTTAATGGAAAAGAAGTCTTTAATCAGTTTTAAATTTTAGATTTTACGAATTAAATAATAAACAAAGATAGCAAAAAATATATTTTAAATTTTTTAAGTATAAATGGATAACTTTAACTCGTTGGATTAACATTTTTCACCCAGTGCAGTTGACCTGCCTGCCGCACAATAGCCTCCCAGAAATCCTGGAAAACTTTGCCTCTGTCCTGAACTGTCCAGAGTCCCCTGTCAATCCCTGACCGCCGCCTTGCAACTCCAATTTTTGTGCTTGGCCAGAGAATAACTCTCGAGTCAAACGGGTAAAAGTAAGCTGAAAGACATTCGAAGGACCCGGCTGTCTGAAGGTTACCGCATACCCTCTGCCCCCCCACACACAATGCCTAATTGTCTTTGGGCTCGACTGTGTCTGGCCGACAGTCCCATCCCCTACTGCTATCCCTACTTTTCACCGCCGCCGCCCCCGCAGGGCCTGTCTGAGTGACTTATGTCTGGCTTTAGAGAACTTTTTGCAGCATACAATGTTGCATTGCAAATTGAAACACGCGACGCTGCGCTGCGCGATGCGGAGCGTTGGAAAAAAGCAGAGGAAAAGCAGAGAATTTCCCAGACACATACAACAACTACCAGCATATGCATAAATAATAATGCACGAGCATACTTTAAGTGCAGCGTCTGCTACGCTCAATGCTGCGATTTTCTGTCATGGGGCACTCGAAAAAAATATTAATAGCCTTCATAAATTTAGAAATTTCAAGGTTAAAGGAATGCAGCGATAGGGAGATCTTAAGCTAAACCTCTTTAAGCTGTGGTAATATATTTTAAAGGTTTGGTTTCTAAATCTGTAATATATTTTAGAAGGAATAAAAAGGTTGAACATAATTTTAAGTAAAATTAAGTAAATATCATTGGAAATGTTGCTAATTCTAGAAATCTCTGAAGATTTTAAAACAATTGCTGTGGCATTCAAAACTTAGCTGCATAGTTAGTATTTTTCATTGCCAAAATAAAATAAGATGAACATATAACTTCAAAAATCATCATCAAAAAGTATGTAAGAATATATTTTAGGAACTAAATTCATTGTTATACATTTTTTAAAATACAAAATTTTCTATCAAATATTTCCCACAAACCAGAACAGATTTAAAACCTAAAACCCAATACATTTAGAACGATTTCCTTGGCTTTTCGAAAGGGCGAGTGTGCTGAGTGTAGCCAGGGGCTTACCCTTTCCTTCGGAAAACCCTTCACTCGTCTAGCCGTCTGCTCTCGCTTTGGGTTGTCCGGTTCTGGCAGGAGAACGGGTGTGCCCCCGGTGGGTGTTGGGCGGCTTGTATGCACTTCAGCTTGAATGTGTCTGCTGCATTTACCCTTGAAAATGCGGCCGTTGCAGACTCCGTTGCACGCTGCAAACGCTGCACACGTTGCACGTTGCACATTGCCCGTTGCAAATGAGTTCAATACACTTGGCATAAACACAAACATTACTGGGAAATCCACTCAGCGCAAGGGAATTTTCGTCCTGCGCCTGCGCCGCTTTTCCCACGAAGCTAACACACAATAATGCTCTCCAAATTTTCCACGCTCTTGCAGGTCCGAGCAGCCGAAGTTTTCCGAAGTCGTGGCAAAGCGAACGCCTGCGAGTCTGTTTATTTAACACACTTCCTCGTGGCGAAAGCCTTCAGTTCGTGTCTGCTGCTCGCGAAGTGCGCGTGAACAGGGGAAACGGATACGGAAACGGTAACGAAAGCGGAAACGAGAACCTGAACGAAAATTCGAAGCTCGAAACGAGACAGTGAGTGCGTGTCTGTGTGATGGAAAGATCGCTGCATCCGGAAGATCGCCATGCCCAGCTCAAGTTTGCTCAACTAGTGAATTAACGAAAACAACTCAATCAGCCTTTGAAAAAAGAAAAGAAGCGACAACCTGTGTGTGACTCAGACTGCTCTTTAAGAAACAGAATTAAGCCAAGACTTTACCTTGGATTAGGCAGCATGTGTGCCACGGGGAGGAACCACCGGCTCCTCAATCGCCTCAGCAGCCTGAGCGCCCTGCTCCTCGTCCTTGGTGCGCAATTCATTCGCGTGGAGTTTGCCCGGGCGGATTACGAGAACACCTGGAATTTGTATTACGAGCCGCCCTGCTGCACGGGCTCCGCCGCCGGCCATCACCTGCGCCACCACAAAGGTAAGTCGCTCTGCCCAGCTGTTGCCAGCTTCCCTGCATATTTCATTTCGCCATTTCAGTCAAGGTAAGTGAGTGAGTGAGTGACGGAGTGACTGAATGCTTGGCCTTGGCTAGGGTATCCGAGGAGTCTCGCCTAATTTGTGGTCGGATTAGGTGCGACTTAATCAGTCCCTAAATTCAGTTACACGCAGAAAAAAGACTACATTCGTTTTTAGGGAAAATTCTTAGACAAAAATTCTTAAAAACGGTTTAGCTTTTGAATTTTCAAATTTTTAAATTGAAATTTTAAAATCGCAGATATTTTCTGAACTTAATTGTATTTAAAATGTATATATTCTCAGTATGTTTTGGTTTTTTAAAGGTTTATTTAGTATAGGAATTGAAATTTAAATAGCTTTAAAATGTTTCTTAAAAGATAGTAATTTACCAAGATTTTACCAAGTTGTTGAAGTTTTTGCTTACATTTTTCGAAAGACTTTAATGTAGATTGCACTTTTATAATGTAAATATATTACCCTTTTAAGAAAAATATTTTCCCCCTTAAAGCCTTCAAATTAATAACCCCAAAATCTCTCTTAAAACATTTTCCTTGGTTTCTTGGTCAAGTCTACATATTTTTCTATTTAAGAAATATTTTTCCTAGTGCTCAGACACATGGCCAAAGGCGGAATACAAATAATATAGCCTAAACGGCCTCGCATTCCCGGCCGGCTAAGCTCCGGCATACAAAACTATTCGCAACAATGGCAGCCGAGGGTCGGGATCGAACTTTGGGAAATAAGTCAACAGCTTACATAGCCGCGAATGCCAAGAAGCCGAAACGAATGTGTCTGTGTATATGTGTGAGTTAGAGAGTGGGGGGCGTCCCTTTTTTTTTTTGGGCAAAAGGAATAATTTTCACTTTAAGCGGATTTGCCCGCCCACGTCTCCTTCTACATTTCTTGATTTGCCATTTCGCTCCACTTCCGACGGCGACGTCTGTTATCCTTTTTCTCCTCTTGATTTCCCAGGACCTCGTCCCGCTTTCTGCTCGCCAGCTTGGTGGCCAATTGGCACCCAGGACTCGTTCGCATTGCTATTGTTTTGCCATTGTTTTATTTCATCGGCAAGACATTTCTCTTCCGCATTGTGTGAAGCTGATAGGGTTTCAGGAGCAAGAGCGGGAACAGGAGCAGTAGCAGTAGCAGGAGCCAGAGCAGGAGCGGGTGTTGCCAACTTATAGACTCATTCGCGCGCAGCAGCCTGTGCTTCCTTGTACTTTACTTTTCCGCCAGTGCTGTGCTCGGAGTGAAATTAAAAACTTTTCGCCTTTCTGCACGGTCTTCGTTTTGTGTTTGTTCAATTGCAGGACCTCTCTCCCCCTTTACCACCCTTAACCCCTGAAAGCCGCTTGGCGAAACCCCCATCTTGACCGTCACTTCCGCCACTTAAGATGTGTTTTATTTTGCTTTTCTTCTTGTTGGTATTTCTATTTTTTTCATGTTTTTCTTCTTTCATCCAACTATTAGTGTTTAATTAGTTTTCAAGTGGAGTTTTTATGGACTGAAAGCCGAGCTTAGCCCGACACAGATTCGCTCTTTCCTCGGCTCTGTCCCTGAATAATTAAAACCCATTTCGCATATCGGATGAGTGTGTACAAAGTAATCCGCTTTAACCAGCAGAGTGCGGCGGCAACAAATACTATTTGGGGGCTATAATGCAAAACTTTTTTTTTTAATGCTCATGAGGAATTATGAGGGAGCCCCGGCTATTATGTGTGAAAATGCGCCTTTGTTTAGCATTTTTATTTACATAAACAATTTCGGTTTACGCAGAAGATTTCCGCACCAATCTGGGTCTGGTCCGGGAAAGGGATTTTCCTCCAGCCGCAGAAATGTAAACAGAAACGAGTTTTAAGCGCTCAAACTTTCCGGCGACCCGCAAAAAGCAAAAGTAAAAAAAGGGCGAAAGAAAGAAATTTTCAACTTCATAAAGGTTTTGCGAGACGCCAAAGTAAGCAACAAAAAATCGGGTGGAAAAAAAAAAAGAAAATGAGAAGGAAAGTGCCAGGCGAAAAGCGACGGGATAGCATATCAGATGTTTGCGTTGTTAATTAAAGAAAAACAAGCAAAAGTTTAATGGCGAATATTAGCGAGAGCTGTGGGGGGCAGCCCGGTGAAATGACCCCCCGCTAGGCCCCAACCCCCTCCCTCAAAAAACCGAAATCCACCTGGCTTTGGTCCAAAGTTGCGGACATTGCGTAAATAGAAACAGCAGCAGCAGAAGCAGGAGCTGTGGAAAAGCGGAAAAACAGAAAAGGGGTGCAAAAGTACACACAAAAAACTTGGCTCCTTATTTCCCCCACGCACGCGAAGCCCAAAAAAAAAAAAAAAAAAAACAACACGGCAAAGCGGGAAAATGGCTGGGGAAGCAGCAGTAAAGTAGGAAAATGAAAACTGCTCACAAATGTTCATTCCTCTCGTAAACTTAAAGAATTTCGAGCATTTAGCGCTGGCAGCCAACAAAAGTTGCTTGTTTCTCAGTATTTCTTTTTTTCGGGGGCAGAAAACGAGTAAACTTTTACGTTCGACCAGCAGGTGGAAGTCGGCTAAATTAGCCAACCCCAGCTCAGCAGCAATTAAGCAGCAATTTTCAGGAAAGAGAAAAATAAAAGGGAGCAGCGGGTGGCTGCTAGAAGTTCTGCCTGGATTTCATAAGTCCATCAGCAGATTCACACAATTCAAGTGTTGCCTCGGAGTCAAGTTGAGGAGGCGGCAATTGCCCAAAACCGAACGAAAGGCACACACGCAAGCACAATCAATGGGTCGGCAGACGGGGCGTATACGCAACGTGCTGGTGTGTGCCTTGCGGCGGAATTTAAGAAAATCAATAGAAGCTCCCGGAAATGCTCCCGTAAATGTCTGCTCGTGTGTGTGTTTCTGCTATAAATACCTGTTCTACGTGTGTGTGTTTAGTGTCCTTTTGGGCCAAATCCAAATCCGGAATCAGCCTGGCTAAGCCATAATTTACAATCGCATTGACCTGGTTTCGTACGGCCTACGGATTCGGAAACGGATTCATTAGCCCCGTGTAACTGCAACTCCAGGCGACATAATTCAGCGCAAGTACAAATGCTTGTTTGACACACTCACACACCCTCGGAGTGGGCGATATATCTTAATGCAAAAAGACGTCCTTACCACGGATCACATGCGGTGCACCGCTGTAATATACATCCTCCTGCCCCTAGAAGGCACAAGGACACTCGTGCAAAGATACAGCCATAGATACAGATACAGGCACACACGAGTTGCGGTTTCTCGTTGCCTCAAACAAAAGCCCGGGGATGTGTGAGTGTGTGTATATATATTCGACACCTTCGACGGAATGAAGAGAGGCAGCGTCAAGGACGGAGAGGCAACCGCAAGAGATAGGAGCCGCCTTTTTGGAGGACTTTTCCGGCCAGCTCCCGCTCGGCATTCCCATCGCATCACGTTTCAAAAGCCACTCACATTTCGGCTCAAGTTAATGACGACAAATTAATTAAACCAGAAATGTCTGCGCCACTAAATTTGATTATAAAACTTTACGTTTTCCATTCCAATTTCCCAGTAGCAGGCGCAGTCTGTGTGTGGTGTTTGCCATAAATTCGTTAACATAATGATGCCACACTTGTACGCATTAACCCCAAAAAAACAGGAGGCATTAAAACTTTGGTCTTTCAACTTTTCTTTGGGGTCCCCGGTCCCGGTCTCGGGCGACACAATGGAAACTTGTTTATAGTTTTGGCTTAACAACTTACGGCAAGGCAAGCCTATTAAAATTAATTTAATTTTATGTTAATGCCAGAGTTTATTCAATTTATTTAAAACACATGTCGCTTGATTTAATTAACTTTACATGACCGTTGCGGCTTTTGTTGCCAGGAAGCAGCAGCAGCAGCAGCACGCATGTTGCTTCTGCCACCAATGTTGCTCCCGTGGCAGTTGCTGCAACTGACACATGATGGGGAAAAACCCGATGGCCATAACACCAGAGACCTGACAATATTGCAACGCCCTTGTGGGCAGCTGTATGTTTTTAATTAAACACTTTAAACAATGAAATAAGCGAGGGCCAGGCTTAAATAGTACATAATTATAATTATTATGGCTTTAAAAGATGTACTATTAACACAAGATTTAAAAAGTTAAAAAAGTAAAATAAATATAAAATCAGAAGCCACATAAACATCATCTGCAATATTTACTAATAATAACCAGCTAAAGCTTTCTTCCTGATGCTTAATTATTACCCCAAACAAACACACTTCATTCACTCATTATTCATGGCCTTTACAGACCTTGGTTTCCAGCCAGAACAAAATAAATATAAATAATCATTAAGGCAAGTAATAAACTGCAAACTTTGATCTCCAGGAATAGCACTTAACGTCCAACTTCAGCTCCAGACAGACACCTCATGGCAGTGCACTTATTTACACTCGATTTCAATTATCCGCTCGCAGTTAGACACACCAACCGCAAGGATAACAACAGACCAGGAACAATATGAACAGGCCAAATATGTTCATTCATTAGGCTGAAAGGGGATGTTTGGTGAATGTGTGTATGTGTGCCAGTCAGAAATAATTCGTAGTGAAATATATTAAAGTTATTGCTTGGGCCTAACCCCACACATGTGACTAGGCGGTGGTGGTGTTTCGTCTTCTTGCCCTTTTTTCCGGGGAATTTATATATATATGTATATTTGGAATATGGAACAGCGTGAAATTAGGGGGAGAGCCCCCGTTCTGTGCTGGATTTTTAGAGTGGACACCAAACTATTTTGACCGAAAGCATAAGGCAGCAGCAGCAGCAGCAGGGAAAGTTGCCCAGTGAAAGGGGGCGGAATTCGGTTTCGGTTCGCCTTTTGGGGTTGCCAAGTGTTTTCAGGGGTTGCTAGCCAGCAGCAGCAGCAGCATATTGCAAAAGTTAAATTGGTTTATTGTCCATTTTTATGACATACAAAAAACTTTGTGC